AGGGCGTCCTGAAAGCCGGAGCCGGGGAAGGCGGCGGCGGCGGAGGTCGCCTCGGCCACGGGCGGGCGCGCTTTGACAGCGGCGGGGTTTCCAACGGAGACTGCAGCCTCGGCGTGTCCGGGGACGAAGCCCGGGCCAGCCCCGCCAAGGGACCCCTCGCCGCTGCGCTCGCCGCGACTCCCAGCCCGGCCGCCTGTTCCCTCCCCCGGGAGAGCAAAACGGGCGGCCTGCCCCGCCGGAGCAGCATCATCAAGGTAGGAGGAAGAAGGGCGCGCACTTCGCCCATCCCCAGCGGTCCTTGGGGGGTCTGTACCCCAAGGGGGAAGCGGCGGTGGAAGGAGGGGGCGGTAAGGGGAACTCAGGGCTAACGGGAACCCCTGGTGCATGGGTGCTTGGCTTGGTTTGAGCAGACACTGGATGCAAACGGCAATTGGAGAGAGGGAGAGCTGAGCCTTCGGTGCAAGGGGGAGCTGTACTCACACATCCCCAATTGAACTTGGGGCTGTCACCTTTCACAGCATTGGTCCGGATTTATGGCCTGTACCTGCCTGGGCAGGGAAGTCCGTCTGTGGTAACCTAGGCTGGTAACGGACTCCCTGGAAGCTTGCTGTTGGACTTGAAGGCAGTGATGATGTGAAGACATTTTCTTAAAAATCTCAGGCAGCGAACAGATTATTTAATAGGTTCTTGGCAATCTGTCTAGTTGCTTCTTGCGAGTGGAGACTTCTGGAGGCAGAATCGCCTGTCTTCAATCACATGCAGAAATGGACTAGGTTTCTGAACCTATTTCTGCTTTCTGAGGCTCAGAAGCTCTGAGGAATTACAGTTCTGCACGATGTGATCTTTTCTTTGCTGCAGTAGGCAGGCCTCCAGTTTTGTGGAAGTTCTTTTGGGCAGTTTGCTTGGTTTTTGCTGTCTTTTGCACAGTGTTATTTAGTAGAAGAAAGCCAGTGATTATTTTGTGCATTTTTAAACTCAAGCAGTATATTAGGAATTCCTCAGTGTGTGGTGGTTTCACTCTCATATTACATTCTGGTTTGCACTGAAAAAATTTTTTTTCATGACATGAGGTGAAAAAAATAGTTGATGAGCTAAGAAAAGCAGAGCTTTAGGCAAGACCAAGCTCCTTCTACTCAAGCTGCTAAGCACATTGACAAGGTTGCACCCTCCCTTGTGACTGATTGGGGGGAGGAGGGGACAAGAGGGTAGAACCATTCACAGGGAAGCAAGTTGGGATTGGTGATACTTGAAATTTAATGAGACTTACAGAAGTCTTCTAAGTACTGTGTAAGTGTCTGGTTGTGTTACCAACTTTTGCAGTAATCTAGTGAAATATACCACCTTGCTAGTGGATGTAACAGGCAGTTGTGAAACAGCTTTTCGCTTTGTCATCTGTTTGCACAGGTTATGTCTAGGCAAGGGGGGCAGTTGAAGGACTTCGAGATCAAGTGTATTAACAACCAATATTGAGAGTTTAAGGAAAGATATCTTTTCCCTGCATAGCTAGCTTTTTAGTGACTTACAGTTTCTTTTACTCTGTAGTTTATGTAGAAGATGCTTTCTGCTGTGGGTGACGATCTTATTGACCCATCAGAAGACAGGTTTATGTCTTATGTTTTTATTGGTGCCAGATAGTTTTGGTGGCATCGTGGTATTAATAAAATTTAAGGTGAAAATTCCAGAGAAGATACCAGCCTACCTAATTTTAACTCCTCTTTTTAATTTTTAAAACTTTATTTCGTTTTAGTCCATAGGAGGGTTCACATTGTAACTGTCACAATGACTTAATTACAGTCACATCAGTTTTGACTTTTATCTTCATGGGAGATTAGGAAGAAGGATGGTTTGCCAATTTTTCTGCTCTCTGGAATTGAGAACTTTTCAATGGGTGCAATTTCATCACTGAAGATTCTAGAAGCACATGGGGAAATGAATTACTGGTTTTTGAACTCCAAAACTTTCAAAGATATCTTTTTCATTTTCTTATCTAAACAAGGAAGTTGGTTTCTTGTTCATAGTTGTATCCCTGGATAACACAGTGACAGGTACAATGTAGGGTTTCTTTAGATTGTTCCCTGAGTGAGTGGAGGAGTGATGTTTTCTTTAAGTTCTGTTCATTTCTAAAATGAGTGGTTTAGATTTACCTGTCTCATTTCTTGTTTATTATCTTACATCTCTTAAAACCACTTATTGACTCCTTCCTCATGCGTCTGTTTCCAGCTTACATTTACTTAAACATTTCAAAACGATGGCAACAGTGTTGAGGTCCTGAGTAATAGGACATTGGTATGCTGTGTTTAACAAGGTAACTACTTGGTATGTTTTTCTTTGGATGGAAAGATCAAGATTTTAGAAATTTAGCATATTTTCTAAAGCCATCACAGCATTATGTCAATGCCCTTATAGAATGAAGAGCTCTTTAACATCAAAGTTTGCAGAGCAGTAAATAGCCCGCAAACACTTGTCACATGAATGGCAGAAATTATATTTCATGCTCGCTGAAAGATAATAATAAGCTTAACAGAAGCCCATGCCAGAAAGCATTGGTGACATCTTTCCATGGGCTCCTTAGATCTTTTTGAATCTAAGGGACGAGTGTGGTCAGGTGATGTGAGATAGGAAGGAGTGTATGGGTGAGTAAGGCCAGGCTGCAGCTGGCAGGGAAGGTCGGGGAGTGGAAGCCTGCCGGGGAGCAGAGTGCGCTGGTTAGAGGTTGCTTTAGCAGAACTGTCGGGCCTGTGCGCCACGCCGGTTCTCCAGCTTCCATTTTCATTGCAGCTTTGACATCCTTCTTAGTAGCGATCCCCAAATCAGAGGGAGAAAGAGCAGCTTCATTGTGATCAACAGTGGGCAGAGAAAGAGGGCTGGCGCCTAGGGGCGAGCATGCGCAGAAGTACCCGGGAGGCTGACCAGACTTCTAGTTCTCATTTGAAATAATTTCTTGGGAACTCCATCTGTTTTGTAAATATGGTGTTGAGTAAGAAATTGTTGTAAAACTACATTTTCTGCCAAGATAGATGCACAGATCTATACTAAAAGAGCTCAAGAGCTCCTTGGTTGTGCTAACAGTGTTGATGAAAATTCAGAGAGAGCAGCCTTGGAGAAACTCTTACCGATATCTTGTGAAGATAAATAAATTATGGACCTCATTACCGGAGTTTTCTAATTTCCCTTAGCTTATTGAAAATAGTGTTCTGCTTTCTAGATTCTTTACAGAGACCTCAATTTTCAGTGAGGACACATTGTGTTTATCATCTTTAGTCATCCATTTAACAAAAGCATCTCTTTCATTTTCTTTTTTCATATTTCATCGCATCACACCTTTCAGTACAATCCACACTTTATTTTGAAATCGTCATTCTGATGAATTGTTCAGATGGATGGCATCCATTTTTTTCTAAGTTGCTCCATCCTTTCAATTCAAGGGCTTAGCCTCACATAAGAAATGGCATTTTAGGCCTTAGGTTTCTTTTTTCTTCTGTGAAAATGAATGAAGTTAGAATGCCTAGTAGTTTATTATTAGATTATTTTAATCAAAACTAATGAAATATTTTGGTTGGTATGTATGCAAATGGAATATAAATGGTGTAAAGTAAAATTCATCTGGTGTCCATTGATACATTTCATGAACACACATAGCCTGGGAAACACCTCCACCATCAAGATGTAGGACAATTCTGTGGGTTCACCAAATTCCTGCGGCCCTACCCACCCCAGACCATGGGACGGTGGATCCTCCAACTTTTTTCTAAGTGGGGTTATTTCGCTATTTAACAGCACCCACCATTTGGCTCATCAAACACACACTGAGTACAAAGCACAGGAAAAGGGCTTCACTCCGTGGTGCCTCCACTGTGCTGGAGGCTTAAAATTCCTGTTTCATTAAGGTCTCCCTGGTGTTTTGGGACACTGGGTTTGATTTTCAGATGTTGGAAGGGAACAAGGAACCTCTGTTTTTGCTGGCAGAAGCTGCTGACAGATAATATCGCAAGGCAGCTGTTTACTCGCTGATTGACAGAGTCTGGGCTTCGCTGGGACCAGTGGTTTGTGACCTTGCCCAAGGTGACAGCTTTTCTCGGGCCTCAGTCTTCATCACCCCATTTTTGTCATGAGCACAGTGTCAGGGTGTGTAGGAGACACAGTCATACCCTTAGGCCACATCGAGTCCTGTCTTGATGTC